TAGGCGTACCTGTAAGCCTTTATCGCCTGCAGGCATGCAGCCCAGGACATGTCTCAACAGTACTGCAAAAAATCAGCAGTTTTCAAGTAAAAAAAAAAACAAAAAATTATCAGGCCATCCAGCTAGATCTTGTCAAATCCTCTCACCTGGAGGATGAAAACTCTCATTTACAAAGAAAAAAGGTGAAGTTAATAAGTCTCAGTTGCATCCACACCTGCTCCTGTCCAAAAGCTGATGTCAACACAAAGCTCAGCTTGTGGGAAGCTGTGTATGGGGTGTCTCATGCTTCACGTGTGCCCTGCTTGCAGGGTACTGTGGCAGAAATGCTAAGTCATGGCCTGAAGCAGTGATTGAGCACCTGGTGGAAGGCAGGGCCAACCCAGGGGAGCTCAGGTGCATGCAGTGTACTTGAGTGATTGGAAGGGATGGAGCCAGGACCAACCCCCCACCCAGACCTCATTTAAGGGCTGGTATAGGAGGTGAGGGTATCTTGCTGGAGATCTCTGCCCACCTGAGGCCTTCTAAAGGTAAGCCGATTATTTCCTTTGTTTCTGTGTCTAGAACTGTTGTATTTGAGTATATCGTTACTTTGCTGCTGCCTGGAACTTTGCTACTATGTTGCTGTGCTTTCTGTCGTGCTGTGGTATTGCAAGTGATTCTGTGAGCCTTGTATCTGGCTGTCTTCTCTGACTTCAGAAGGAAACTGAAAACTAATGTGCTGGGAAGGAGAAGTTCAAAGTGATTGCAGTAATGCAAATTTCATGCATCAGTGGCAAGAATACAAAGTTTCCTTCGACTTGGTAACCTTAAGAAACTTGGCGTCATCTCAGTGAAAAAGAAAAGTGGGGTCTATGGTGCATGCATCTTGTGGCCTTTGTAGGTTCTGCAGCCTGGCTGTGATCCTGGCAGTGCCACCTAACAGATGGTGTGAGTGCAGTGCTAGCTGGGGAGAGAGTTTAGAGGCAGCCATGCTGCTTCCTTCCTCAGCCCATGGTGATGTGGTAAGAAAGAATGATGGATGGATGGATGGAGGAGGTGACACCTAGCCTGTTGGTGGGGTTCCAGATGAAAGCTAGATCATAGTCAGAGAATGGTTGGGTTGGAAGGGACCTTAAAGATCATCTGGCTCCACACCCCCCTGCCCTGGGCTGGGTTTCCATCTGCTAGATCAGGCTGCCTAGGGTCCAATCCAACTTGACCTTGAATGCCTTCAAGGACAGGGTATCTAGAACCTCTCTAGGCAAGCACTGAAGACCATTTCATTCATCAGCCTAGTTCCTTTGCATCCCAAAGCTCATAGAGGTACTTCCAGTGTATGCAATAGGAAGTGTGGATGCCCTTGGCAACCTTCCCCCCCAGCAAACCTGCTCCATGCCAGATGGAGAAATGCAGGAGGTGCTGGTGGGAGGTACAGCAAAAGAAAGGTATCAGAGCCAGCTGACAGGGCCCCCATCCAAGCATGGGGTGGAGAGGACTGGTTGCCCACCTGGCAGATGAGGTGGGTGTAGAGCAGAACCCAAGTGCATGCAGGCTGAAGCCTAACGAGCTGCAAGCTGTTCTCTTATGTCATTATATTTAGAGACACACAACCAGGATGTGTCTGGAAAGGCTCCTTTCTAATGACTCATTTCAGAACAGTGGTGTCAGTAAGCCACAGTTTTTGCTTTGCTGTGATTTTAGAGGGAGTGAAGGTAAAGAAGTCAGTTGAGCCCAACTGATGGCAAGGCTGTATGGAGAAGCCAGGATTGAAACACAGTGCCCGTGTGTCAATGTGCAGCGCTCTGAGTGATATCTTTAGAGCTGCTTTAGCTTCAGAAGTCTGAAAAATCGCTATGGGTATCTCATATCTCCAAATTGATTTTAATGCCACTTCCACAAAGAAAGCAAACAATCTTGAGCATCAATTGAGTACCATTGCTCTGCCCAGCAGGTTTTTGCCTTCTGCTTGACGCCTAGATGTGTTAATTTTTATTTTGTGGCTTTCTTGGAGGAAAAAAATAAGTGCTGTGTCGGGACGGGAATCTGACCTGCAGCCTGGGCTGCTGCTGCCCTCTCCTGGCTCTGACAGTGCCAAGAAACCGAGATTTCCCAAAAGAGAATCCTGCAAGCCTGGGTCCATTTCCCAGAAGGGATTCTTGCAAGCTGGTACCCGGCTGGCCTGTGCCCCATGAGCACAGCATGGCCTCATCCCCACCGCTGCCCCACTACCTCCTTCCTCCCCACCCTGGTGCCTCATTTTGTGCGTTTCAGTGCCCTTTTCGGACTTTTCCTGAGCTTTCCCATGTAGAGAGAGAAAAATGTCACATCCCAGAGATGCTCCTCGTGTTGGCCTCTCCAAAATGTGCCTGCTCAGGGTCTGCAGGATGACGGCGCATCCCGTGCAGCACAGAGCGCCCTGCGTGCAGCAGCTGCCTAATGGTTTCAAAAGCCACTTAGTGGCTTATTGCGGTGTGAGTGGGTGGAAGCTCAGCACCAGAGAGCTCAGAGGCAGCCGTGCAGCCCCTGCTTTCCTCCTGACAGAGTGCAAGAAGAGGAGTGTGTGGTTTTTGTTTTGTTTTTTTTCCCCCCCTGAGATCTGCTCCGTGTACCTGGCAGGGCATGGAGTTGAGCACCGGGAGCCTGGGAGCCGTGCTTGTGCTCCCCAGATTCTTCTGCATGCTCTGTGCTACAGGTCTGCACAGTGCCATTGCAGCTGGGAGATGGGGGATCCCCATCAGTGGGGCAGTGTCAGCTGTGCTTCCCACTAATGCTCTTCCAGTCAGGGATGGAAAACTCCATTGTGGGCTATTAAATATGAAGTCCCCAAGCCACAACTCAGGTTGAAGATGGAAGTGCTGGTCTATCTATACGCTCCCCTTCAAAAGCCAGGCAGACCTTTGGCTATCCATTGCTTTTTGAACAATTTCCAGCCTAGCTACATCCTGAGGTAAGGAGAGCAGAGATGTATTTGGTAAATTATGTATGTGTGTAGGGCTGCGGTGATGTTCTCCTCTTTGTGATCTCCACTTCTCCAGGCAATTCTGAATATATGCCTTATATCTGAGCAGCTTTTGAGCTATGTGTCTGGTGAAACCAAGCTCTTTTATCAACAGGAGGCAGGTGGTCCCGTGAGGTGGAGGGGAAAGACATTGGTCCCAGGGACCTGCAAATTCAAGGGGCTAATTCTTGATGCTCTGAGTCATTAAAAACCAATGTGGTGTCAAACCATCAGAAGCTTCACACCCTTCCATCCTGCCTTGATATATCCCAACCTGCAGCTGATGAAGGAACAAGGAGTTATGGGGGGGTCTTCCTGGGGGTTGCATCACGACACACAGGGTGCTTGTGTGAGTGCCACCCTCTCACTGATCCCCAGGTTTGGGTCCCACCACCCCAGGACCACTTGCTTGCTGGCTGCCACTGCCCTGGTTTTCCACTGCTTTGCCCTCAGTGCTGGTACTTGGTCTGCTGCAATTCCCATCAAAATGGGATTACTGGGCATCAGTGTATGGAGCTGAGCTTTTCAACATGAGGCCTGGCAAAAAGGATTTACGCCTGTATGTGTGTGTGTATCCTTAGATAAAGAATGCACTTGGAAAATCACCCCCATCCAGACTGCTGGGAGCTACATTTTTGCCACAAGGCCATTTCTTCCCAAAATGCTGGCACAGTGGGGAATGTTCTGCTGCGCTGTTCTCTCACTGCTCCTTCCCAGGATGCACACCTGAGCATTGTTGGGGCTTTCATGGTGAGCTTGCTTGCCAAAACACAGCTAGTTGCCACGAGGCATCCAGGCGATGCCAGCAGGGATGATGCAGCACTCCCAGCACCTTTGAGCTTTTCTCCAGCCTGGTGTAGTGATAACATCCTTTCACACAAGTCAAGTCCTCATGGTACAACCCCATACAGACAGCCCAAGGTTAAGTTACATGGTGTAGCTTATTTAGCTTGCTGGCTGTTAAAATCCTGAGGAAAACCACTGCTGAGAGCTGTGCTCCAGCTTCCAGTGCCCTTGGTGGGGTCTCAGGTTTCCAGAGGTGAGTGAAGGGGACAGATACTGCTGTACCTACTGCTCAGGAGCAGCAATATTAAGTTGCACCACCCTGGGGACAAACAGTCCCCATCAGAGTGGATCCTCATGCCACACACAGCTCTGTGGAAGCCCTGCAAGTCCTGAAGATGGGAGCGAGCAGGCAGGCACAGACTCCATGTTACCCCAAAGCAGGGCAAGAGGCCCCCAGCTTGCCATCTGCCCCTCAGAAAACCCCTGATATAGCATCTGGCAGCACACACAAAGCACAGCCTGGGAGGAACAGAAAGCAAGATTCTTTATTGTACACAGTACAGAACGTAATGCGGATTTGCAGGAGATACATAGCCCTGCTTGAGTAAAGGTTATTTCAGTCAGTCCTCAGATTTAACCCCCTCTGCACTGAGCAAATGTTCCTAGCCATCCCCAAGGCACAGTGCCTGCGGTCACCGCTTCCTGACGGCACTGGGCACGCTGCACACTGTAGGGACAGCCAGCCAGCCTGCAAGGGTTAATCTTCATACTTCCCCCAAAAAAGAATGAATCAGTCCAAAAACAAACAACCAAAAAGAAAAAAAAAGGGAAAAGACACCCAACAAAATAAAATCCCCCCAAAAAAACAACTGGAAAAAAAAAAAAACCAATCCAAACAAAGCTAACTAAGGATGAGAAAAAAAATTCCTATACAGCATTTACAACAAAAACATGTAGCCATTAGGAGTGGGGGGGAGGCAGGGGCATATATATGAGAGGTGGAGGAGTGTAGGGAGTTGCGGTGGGCAGGGGCCAAAGGGAAGGGACTCCAGCCTGGCCCTGTTATGCACAGAGGGGAACAGAGCCCCTGGGACAGGGATGTGAGCAGTGAAATGGAGTGGACCAGGTACTTCGGCAGGCAGCCTGGTGAGCCGCAGGGGCATCGGCACAGCAGCTGGGCTGCAGAAAATAGCTTTGCCTTAAAATACAAAATAATCTACAAAAATCAGTTAGAAATCTGTTTTTTTTCCCCAAAAACATCACCCACCCCCATATCTCCCCCCAAAAAAAGAAAGAAAAAAAACAAAAGAGGGAGATAGCATCACAGCAGCCTCCCTCCTGTGAAATTAAACCCATCGCATACAGCCTGAGCTGGGGAGAAGTGATGGGGGATGTGGAGAGGAGTGGGGCAGGCTGACAAATTGTTAAATGGGAGAGTAATGCTTGCTGGGAACAAGGAGGGACGGGGAGGTTGTGTCTGGGAAGAAGGCAGAAGGCTCCTCCAGCTTGGGGTGGGACGCCGCACACATCAGCCCCGGGGCACCGAGCCCCCCGACACCCCCTCGTCTGTGCAAATCAAAGCCCTTTCCAACACACAAGGCAGCTACGCGTATTGTGATCGATGCAAAGCAGATTGTCGTGACAATTCGCTACAGTCACACCGTCTAGACCAGTCCCACAGGCGCTGCTGAAGCCATCAGCCATCGCATGCTCGCGAGAAGCGTGGCCAGGGTCAGAGACGTGGTGCTTAGCTCCCAGCTCCCCAACACAGCCGTGGGACGCTCGGCGCCAGCCTCGGGCAGTCCTATGCACTAGCCCTTGGACAGTAAGGTTGCGAGCTCAGCGCTGACACACACTGGGCATTTTAGATTCCTCCAATTGCGCTTAAAGGTAAAGGCCAGTTTGTGTGCGCGCACGCGTTTTTTAGTTTTTTGTTTCTTTTTTTTTTTTCCTTTTTTGTTTTTTTTTTTGTTGTTGTTGTTGTGTTTCGTTTTTAAAAGAAATGGCAAAAAATACTCTCTACAAAACCTTTGCCCTTATTGGCCCACAGCAGACGTGCGTGCTAGCGCTGGTCGCTCCACCAGCCGGCCATCAGTAGGCAAAGCCCTCCGCGTAGGGCAGGCTGCCGCAGTGCTCCACCTCCAGCAGGTAGGCAGGGCTGTCCTCAAAGTGCGTCAGCGGCAGGGTGTCCTCCTCGCTCACGTGGCAGTCGGGCTCTGCTTTCAGGAAGGGACGCTGATTGTCGGGGTATGCCATGGAGAAGAGGGCATCGGGGTCACACACGAACTTGTAGACGTACCGCTCGCCGGCCACCTGCAAGCAGAGAGAGCGTGAGCTTGGGGAATGAGGAGCTCGGCTGGAGTGACGGCAGGGTCACCCCATGGTGCTATGTGCTGGGGTGATACTGAGGGTGCCCGAAATGGGTGCAGGGCTGCGTGCCTTCTGCATGATGCCCTTCTCATAGTAGTAGCGCAGGGAGCGGCTCAGCTTGTCATAGTTCATGGCCGGCCGGTTCTTCTGGATGCCCCAGCGCCGTGCTACCTGCAGGGGATGAAAAGCTGTGTTCAGGCACGGGTGCCTCATACAAGCCAAACCACACAAGCGCTCTGCCAGCCCCAGGGCACTGCTCACACCACCACAGTGTTCCCCCATCCCCTCCGTCCCTTCCAAATCTCATTGGATTGCTGCAGTGCAGCCCACACAGAGCTGAAGGCCTAATCGAAAGGCATCTGATGAGGGGAGCCTGCCAAAATTTGCTTCCAAACCACAATTTCCATGCACGGTGTTGGGGATATTATGGGTAACAACCACAGCTGCTCTCACTTGCTTGGCTACTTCCTCCACACCACCTGCACAGGAGGGAATGGCCTCGTACCCAACCCGTACCTCCTCGGGCTCGATCAGCTTGAACTCCATGCCACGGCCAGTCCAGGCGATGAAGTGCGCGTTGGCAGGGTCATCCAGGAGCGTGACGAGGAACTGCCAGAGCTGCAGCGACCCGCGCCGCTGGTAGGGAGGGCCCTCGCGGTACAGGGTGGGCTCCTGCTTCACCTTACCTGTGGTGAGATGGCCATTCAGCCACACAGGACCCAAGGGCAGCAGCAGACCTCAGGTCCAGCTCGTGCCCGCGCTGAGCCCAAACGTGCCCCCCACCAGACCCTTGCTTACCCTCCAGTCTTTCTGGTACCACGCACGTGTCATCGAAATACAATCGTGTGTCTTTTTCATACGAAAATCCTAAGGGAAGAACAGCGTGCTGTGAGCAGCCCCCTCCCCAGGTACCCATTCCTCTGCCGTGGGCCTTGCTGAGACATGGCTCTGTCCTCCCCTCACCCCAGGATCCGGGACGGCCAAAGCCCTCTTAGCAGCTATTTCAGGTGGTTATCTCAGATTATACAGGGCGGCACATCATTCCCATGTCTGCAGGGAGAGGCTGGGAGCAGGGAGAGCCCCGGGTGTGGAGCAAAGCTGCCAGGGGAAGGAGGGAGGGGATAGGATAGGAAGGGCCATGCTAGCAGGCTCCATCCCATGTTTCTCACCATCATGGCTGCTGGGGAAGAGGCCCCCTCTCACGTATGAGGACTGGCAGTTAGGCACTTCTGAAAGGGAAACACAGGCAGCCATAAGCCTGGTGCATCCTCATCCCCAAGCACAACCCCATGTACCACCCCAGGCTGCCCTATTCCACCCGACATGCTGCACAGCCCCACTCCCACCTCTAGGGAAAAGTGGTACAATTTACAGCACTGGGACTCACTCATACAACTGTGTGTAGCGCGGCTGAAACTGGCTTTTCACCACGTTATTTAGGCCACACATGATGGGAGGCAGCAATTGCCCATCACCAGCACCAGGCTTTTGGCCGCCTCCCCTCCCTCCCAGCCATCTGCTCGGCTGCACTGAACCGGCCACCCCCAGCCCAAGGCTGTGGTATTTTTAGGCCCTAAGGCGCTTAGAGGATTTTCCGTGATGCTCGTGGAGTCCGGCGCCAGCCACCAGGAGCTGCAGTGGGATGAACCCAGGCCCCAGTATGTCAGTATGTCCGTCCTGCTCCTCACCTACCTGAGTCGATGCAGTAGTCCCGGGGCTCCTGCTTGATGCCCATGGGGGACTGGAAGCCGTGCCCAGGGGGGCCGGGCAGGCTGGGGCCGGCGTGCTCATAGAGCGGGTCGTGGTACTCCTGTTTGAATCCCTGAGCGGGGTGGGGGGCAGCGGGGCCAACAGGTTCTGACAGCTGCCGGTGGTAGACGGGGCGGCTGTCCCCAGGGATGCCGGGCTGTGGTGGGAAGGGGTGGCAGGGCTCAGACATCTGCCTCTGGAACCTGGAGAAAAAGGGACACGGTGTCACCAGGGGCAACCATGAGCTCAGCCAGTGCTACGTGTCCCCATCTGGGACACAGCGCATGGCCATCACCTGGGTTTGAGCCTGTCAGGGTGCTTGGTCCCCCAGGCCAAGGGATGGAGATCCACCTTGTATAAGGCAAGAACCTATGGGACGTTGGGGTAAGCGTGGGGAAAAAAAAACAACAACAAAACCAATGCTGTAAGATAAAAATTGAGCCAGCTTAAAGCAGGTGAGGCAGTGCTGCTTGGGGCCCAGGGCCACTGCAACGGGGCAGGTGCTGACGCAAAGCCAAATCCCCTCTGCTGCGCCGCACAGCCAGTTGGCCACTAATCTGCCCAGGATTAAACCTTGAACTGGGTACGGACAGCACTATTTTGGGAGCGAGGGGCCGGTGCCCTCCCATGAGGCTCGGTGCTGCACAGGGTATGGGAGTGGGCTGAGGGGTGCTGCCGACCCCTGCACGGTGCAGCACCGTGAAAGGCGATCGCTGGGCGCCCGCTCCTTTCGGGGCCGCTGAGCGCTGCTCAGCTTTGTAACCAGATCCCTCCCAGCTGACGGGCTGGGATTACTCCATTTCCGACCCGCGTCCCCCTGCCCTTCCTGAGTGAAACCCAAGCCCCGTGCTGGTATGGCACTTCCAGATGGGTCGCAGCCAGTCCCCCGCATAGCTCCAAGGTCGCCCAGAACCGAGCTCTGTACCGGAGTTGGCTGCTGTGCCAGGAAGGGACGCAGCCTGACCTTCCCTGTGCGCTGCATCCAGCCTCAGGTTCTCCTCCCATAGGGAGCACCATCCCCACGAGCCCAGAAGAGGTGCTGGGGTTCGCACTCATTGCAGCCCCAGCAAAAAGCGACAAGTGTCCCGCCTATGTCCCCACCTCTGGAGGCCACCGAGCCTTACCTGTGCTCTGTGGGGTACTGGTTTTCGGACATCATCTTTGGCATGTGCACGGGCGGGTGGGGCGGCCGCGGCACGGCGAAGGTTTGCTGTCTCTGCTCCTGCAGCAGGTGTGGTGCCGGCGCCGTGCTGCGCAGTGGGGCAGCTGGGCCGCCATGGGCAGCTGCCTGCACCCCTGGGGCCGGCGGCGGTGGCAGGGACGAACCCGGCTGCGCGGGGGACACCGGTGTGGCGGGCGGTGTTAATGGCTTGAACCCGGCGGGGGGCTTCCTGTCGTAGGCACTGCAGTGGGGAGAGGGGATGGGGGCTGAGGGCAAGGCAACGCTAACGCGGTCAGACAGCTGCGGGCCCCAGGGAAAGCAGGGTGCAGAGGAGACTGACGCATGAGACAAGAGCCTGTGACATGGCCACCGCTACCACTGGCATCAGGAAACAGCCCTCGTGGTGTGACCACCTGCAAGGGGCTCTGACTAGCCAGACGGGGGACCCCAAACTCCTTCTAGCACCGGTGCTTTGACTGCTGACATGGAACGCCCCCCATCACCCAGCTTCCAAAGAGAGGATGTCAGAACGGGGCTCGCAGGGACGTACCAGCAGTTGTAGAGGCACTTGTCTCCATAGCTGGCACAGAGAGCCTGCTCGTGGCTGCAGGCTGACAGCTCTGAGGAAGGGCTGTGCAGCTCCCGCTTGATCTTGGCTGGAGGTGGGGCGTGCAGGACCACTGCAACAAGAAGAAGGAGGAGGAAGACATGGGCACCACTGACTTCCAGCCGTGACTCTGAGCTGCGTGGGAGCAGGCCATAGGCACAGACAGATCTGGGGAACAGCTGTGTGGGTGCTCCCTTTTGGAAACCAGGAGCACGGGAGCACCAGGGAAACACAACAGCACAAAAAATCCTCAGCAAGGACTATAGGGACACCTGGGTATCACCTGCAGAGGGGAACTGCTCTCCTCTCATGATGCGTGGGGGCAGAGCACGGGCTGTGACAGGGATGTGGGTGATCACTGATGAGCAGTGTGCCTGGACCAGCCCCTGCAAAGCAGCTATGAGCCCAGCTGTGCTGCCCTTTGCCACACATGGACCTTTCCCTGAGCGTATCCAGACTCACATCTATGGAAGCCTCTACATGCTTGCCTGCACGCAGCCCCAAATTAGCCAGCCAGAAGTGGTGAGCAGCAACCAGCACCACGTGTCCTGTGCTCAGTGCCGGGACCACTGGGGATGGGAGCCATGACTGTACGAGTTCAAGGGGCAAACAGCCCATTAAACCCAAAGCCTTCCCAGCTCCAAGCCCATTCACTATATATACATTTTAAACCGAGTAATATATGCTTAACCTCTTTAATTTCTAAAAGCGGGTGCTCTAGGAAAGGGAAACCACGTCAGAGATCTTTACCTAAATCACGCCTGAGCGGGAGAGCCAACACTAATCGGAAGTGGAGTATTAGCTTCATGCAAAGTCTAAACACAGCCCAGCTACACCAGAGGGGAGCAAATAGCTCCAGGACAACTGTTCACAGCTTGCCAGGTAATTATCTGCTCCCCTAATTTGTCAAACCCTTTAAAGAGCTGCTGACTCCCCCCTCTCTCCCCGCCGCCGTAGCCCAGCACAGCTGGTACCAAGGGCAAGAAAAACCCAAAGGAGCATTTGAAACACGAAGCCCGGGCTGAGCAAGCACAGCCCCTGCGCTGCCTGGAGCCTCCCCGGAGCCAGATCTGCTCCCTCTGTGCTCGCTCTGCGTGCATTTTGGGCCGGTGTGGAGGCTGCGACGCCGCAAGAAAGCAAAGGGGAAGGCACTTTGGAAGGGCTCCAGCTGCCGATCACGGGCATGTTTCTCTCTAACAGTCTCCGTGTTGTTCAAGCGGGTTGTTTTTCCGCCAGCCGCACAATGGGGTCTGGTTATTCATTGAAAAAAGTCTCTGAGCGGGCACCACCCTCCATTCACAAACAATTTGGAGCGCTCCATTCATGCGGTTGGAAGGGGGAAAAAAAAAAAAAAAGAAAAAGAAAGAAAAAAAGAAAAAGAAAGAAAAATTTCCCCAGAGCTTAGTGCTGCCATTCAAGAAAAGGGAAACGATACTTAAGATCATAACAGAGACCAGCTGTCCTCGCAAAGAAGCCTGGACTTTGTGCAACGTTTGAATTCCTTACACAAACAGCACGGGGCCGGGCGCGCTGCGCTCCCAGCTCGGCCTTTCCGCCAAGTTCATTCAAAGCAGAGCGATTGTGCAAGGTGGTGAGGCCGGAAAGCTCTTTGGCGAGAGTCAGGAGAAAGAAAAATAACCGCCAGCGGCTGCTGGGGGAAGCACCAAACCACGCTGCCTCTGGGGGCTGGGCAACCTGAGCACGGCCCTGCAGGGGCCACGTGGAGGGGGTGGGGGGAGCACCCACAATGGCCTTCGGTGGGCTGCGTTGGTCCCATAGGATGGGCAGAGCCCAGGGGGGAACAGCATCACATCTCCAGCCGGGCCGGCCTCAAGATGCCACCTAATAGCTGACAGCTCCTGCAGGGAAAGGGACACCCCAAAACCTTTTTGGGCTTTGAATCCTGAGCCCCGATCTGGATGGCACGTGACAAGCCTGGAGGCTGCAGCTTCATGCCCCAAACACCGCTCCGACACAGGCACCAGCTGGGGACCTTGGCACCACCGCAGCCGTCACCTGGGCACCAGCTCCCTGCCAGCCCCTCTGTCCCCCCGGCACAGGACGCACCCAAGGTCACACGAGGAGAGGAGCCAGAAATAGAAGCCGTGCTCCTGCTTTCCTTTGTTTAAGCGCTCCTTCCTCAGAAACAAACCTCCTGCCTTCATTTGGGTGTCTAAAAAAAAAAAGCCAAAAAAAAAAAAAAGCCTGCTCATTGCCTTTGCTGCAAACCATCCATGTGGGGGAACATGATTCCCCAGGGAACAACACTCCTCCCTACCAAAAAAAGGACCCTACACGTTCCCACCCCCAGCGCTCGCTGTCCCCAGCACAGTCCTATCACCCTGCGCCTATGTAAACAACCACCCCAGATAAGGTGCTGGGCACATGCCCTCCTCCCCAGGGCCAGGCGGGAGGACAGGAGACACGTGCCATGTGTTGACCAACACCTGTCTGCGAGCTGCCAAACCCAACTTCTGCCATGACATCGTGACCCACGAGAGTTTTATCAGCCGTGCTGCAGGCAGCTTGCAAACCACCAGGGCTTTCGGCAAGGTGGGAACGATGGGTGTCACCGACACTCAGTGCAGTGCACGGGGACACTGGGATTGAGCTGGGTGCCACCCATCCCATCATGCCCCCTCAGCAGCTGCCATCACTGGGAACTCTGGGGTCAAACATCCCAGCCAGCGAGGAGACCTTTGCTTCATCTCCCCAGGAAGGTTATTACGGCAGGAAGTCACGCAGGAACATCACCCTTCAGGTGACAAAATTGTTTTGACCCCAGTGACACCGGGCCGCACAGGCTGAGCCAGGCAGGAGCTCACTAAAAGCCTCGACCAAATGCTTTTTCCCCCCTGCATCACCCAGAGAAGTTTGTCTCTCTTCTCCCCGAGCCGTTCAGGTTACAAGGAAGCCGGCGGCTGCCAAAAGGCTCTGGAAGCAGCTCTGCTCCGCAGCCAGCCTCCCACGCACGCTGCAGTTTGCGCTGCTCCAAGCGGGAGCTGCTGGGCTGAGCGCGGATGGCAGCAGCGGCTGCGGCTCTGCCTCGGGGCTCTGCCTTTTATCTCAGGGGAGAAAGGGGGAAAAAAGGCGCATCTGAAGCCCAGGCTGTCTGGAACAGTTTAATGGCAAGCTTCCCATTCAGAAGTAATCAAAGAGCAATAATTAACATGCATTTACTGTAGTATAAGATACTCTGATGCATGCTGTGACAAAGCTGGAATGAAAAATCTGTTCGACTGCAGGCTAAATTTGATTTCCTTCAAGTTCTCTAGCTGTCTGCCTGAGCTGCAAACCCAGCACCGGGCTGCTCCTCGCGTTCTCCAGGTAACAACTCAAAGCCCCCAACCCCATCTGAGAATTAATGCCAGAGCTCTCCGCACACGCACGGTGCACCATTAGCTGTGCAGCAGCCCCTGGCTCGGGCAGTGAACCACGGCTAAGAAACAACTCTCTCTCTATTATGCAATTCAAGAGGGACTGCATTTTCACTGGCCTCCTTTTAAACACGCTCGCTTGCCAGAGATTAATGCTGCTTAAAGCAGCTCAAGTTTCACCGCTCGGGTCGGCTCTCGCCAGCAGCACGAGGCCAGGACTGGAAAAAGCTGCAGGAGTGCAGAGATTGTGGCTAACCGACAAGCCCAGCACGAGCTCTCGCTTCCACTTGAAAAGGAAAAGCAGCATTTTGGAGCAAATTGACGCTACTACGAAGGGGAGCCCAGGGCTCAGGCAGAGACCCTTCCCACCGTTTGGCCCAGATTTACCCATTTATGAGACACAGGACACTGAGCCCCAGCTGCACAGACCCACACGTGCTCCCTCTCCAAAGCCCGAGGGTCTCGAGGCCTCAGGGGTTTGGTGCTGGTCTCTTTCCCAGGGAAGGGGTCCTACACTGTTGCATGCAGTGCCCCAAACGCTTCCACCCCACAGAGCAAACACCGGGATGGTTACTTACGGTTATCAGACTGGAAATCTGGGACAAACTGTTCATCATCGGGGACCTGAGCTGAAGAAAAAAAAGAAGAAAAAAAAGAGCATTTTTATAGCATTTTCAGCTCTCAAAAAAATGCACATGATGAGATTTCACATGGCAAAAAGCAGAGATCAGGACTTGCCTTCAGCTAGCCAGGCCTCCTGCAGCTGGCTGAGATCCTGGAAGAGCTCTGGAACACAGCGAGAGGTTTATGCATCCACAGAACACTGACCAAACATGCTGCTATTTGCAGGCTGACCCCAGAGCGGACCCACAGGGGCCTGCAGTGCTGCCTACCTTCCGAGTCGTGGGCCAGGTCGGTCTCCAAAAACTTCCTTTTCCTCTCGGAGCCCAACCGGCCTCGGCCCTCCTCGGCACAGGATTTCTGCAACAGCCACGGTGTGAGGGTGGCAGCCCCCAAAAAGATGGGGGAGCTCAAGGAAGTGCCTCAAAGACGAGGGGTGAGGCATGCCCCAAAGTGGACTAACAGAAAGTGCCTGCCCCGAAGGGGGTGTCCACAATGGGGACAAAAGGGAGGGGCAGCCCAAAGGGACCCAAGAGGAGGCATTCCAAGGGAAGGTGTCCTCAAGGGATCACAAGCAGGTGTTTCAAGGACTCGGGGGGGCTTTAGGCAGACTTACCCCAGGGCCCATGAAGGGGACCTGCTGGTCGTAGAAGCCATCCATGGTGCAGGGAGGCGGGCAGTGCCCCCGGCACGCTCAGCATCGACGGCGGCCCGGGAGGGGGCTCCCGCCTGGGCTTCGGCAAGATGCGAGGCTGCGGGGGGAGAGGCAACGGCAGGATCAGAATCGGGTCCCTTCAGGGCTGGCTGAGTACCGGTGCGGGACCCGCAGCGGGTCGCGGACCCCCGGGCCGTGATGTCACCGAATTTCTATAGAAACAGCCGTGACATCACGCGGGGGGGAAGCGGCCCCGTCCCCGCTCCGCGCCGCTCTCCCGCTCCCCACCGCCCGTGCCGCTGCTCAGCGCCGCGGGGCCGCAGCCGGGCCCGTTCCCACGCCGCCCCGCGCGCCCCATTCATAAACTCCTCCCCCCCCTCCTCCTCCTCATTCACTCCCTCCCCCTCCCGCGCGCGCGCCCTCGCTCGCGCGCGCCCCCCGCCATTCACACCGCGCGGCCCGCGCCATTCATAAGCGCCGCCCCCACCCCGGGCCGCGCCACACCGAGCCGCATCGAGCCGCCAGACCCCGCGCGGACGGCGGAGCACCGCGGGCTCACCCGCTGCAGGCCGGGAGCGGGGCCGGGCGTGCCGGGACGGCGCAGCTCCGAGCCGGGCACCGCGCTGCCGCTCTGCGCCGGCCCGCAGCTCCCGAGCCAGCAGCCCCCGCCACGCCACGCCCAGCGCCGCTTGTTTACCCTCGGCGCCGCCCAATGGGGAGCCGGCAGCCGGCCGCCAGCGCCTGCCGATTGGTCGAGGCGCCGCCCGAGGGCCCGCCCCCCCGCGCCGCTCCGCGGGGCACCATTGAGAACGGCGGGGTGGGAGGGGGGAAGGCAGCCAATGGGCGCCGACCGATTTGCATGGCTCCGCCGAGAGCGTTTTTCATTCATAAAAAAATAGAAGGGGAAGAGGCCGGCGGGTGGGGCGGGGGCAGTGCAGGATTTAAAGTGGCCGCGGCCCTCCGCAGGAGGGGGTTGGGTAGGAAGCTCAAGGGCAGCTAAGGGGGGTGCTGGGCCAGCCTGGGAGCTTCATGAGGAACGTACAGCGTCCTGCAGAGCACGCGCTGCAGAGCCAGGCCGGTGGGTGAGGGGGCCTTCGGGCTTCATGCAGTTGCGGTGTACATGGGTGGTATTGATGGGGTCTTCGGGCTCCTTCCTCTTCGGGACCCCGAGTTGAGCTAGCCCAAACGGCCGCTATGTTGTTTGACCCCTGCGCGCCTCGTAGCCCTCAAAGGGCTCTTTAGAGGAGGCTGTGGGAAGAGATTCCCATCTGCATAGGAATTTGAATGATGGGAAGGGGTTGCTGCAGGTTTCCCAAGTGGCCGTGGGGGGATGGTGATGGCGGGGGCTGGAAGGCAGAGTAGAAGTGTGAGGGGATGGAACAGGGGCACAGGGAGGAGGAGGAGGCTTGCAGGTGGGCTGGAATCATACCCCTGGACAGACCCTCAGGGCTCCCCAGCAGGACCTGCAGCACAGCCCATATAGGATTGCAGGTGGCTCAGAGGACCAGGAATTAGCTCAGGACATAGCCACAGGGACACGAACTTCCCAGCACCTGGCATGGCCCTGCTAATTGCCTCAGTTTCCCTGTTTATAGAAGTAAGCAGCGAATATGACACCCTGCTACCATGGTTCAGGATCCACAAAGTTGTAGGGCCCAGGAAATCCCTGATGGAGCAGGTTAAAAGAGAGTGCTCAGCAAGTAGTGTTTTGCACAGCTTGGGATCCAGGGAGGGTGACTTGGAGACTTGCAATCTGGAGGCTGTAGGCTTGCAGGTTGCCTTACAGAAGTGTGCCACTAATTTTTCAGGAGGTGTTGTACCAGTGCAGAGTGCTGCAGGGCTATCAGCATCCCCAGGGCTGACGCTGGTCTCTGTGAGCAGTTTGGCTCCCATGCTGCACAGCAGGGCAGTTGCCATCACGCCTCATTCACAAGCTGCTGGGACACGTGCGGTGGGCACAGGGTGTCCTTACCACTGGGGACGCTCCTGGGGGGCTCTGCAGGAGCTGGCACTCTCGTGTTTCCCTTTGCACAAGGGTGAGGAGGATTAAATCACCACTAGTAAAATTAGCAGATGACGCACGGTTGGGCAGGTGGACAGGGGGCTGTGGGGTGTCAGCAGCAGTGGTACACAAACAGCCCATGTCAGACCTGATGGCTGCTGCAGATGAAGAGGAGAGGTGTAGAGGCTCTCCCTGCCTTGTCTTTGCCTTTGAGTCAATTGGCCAAACCCTAGCCAAGCTACAGGCTGACTGCCATGGGGTCTCCTTGTGGTGCCTTTGGATGAGCCAGCGGCCATGGACACACAGGGTTGGGAGGGGGCTGGTGACCGGCACCTGCTAAATTTAGAGCCTACTTGGGGAAGAAAAAAACAACCAACACATCGCAGGTTCCAAATTTAGCCTGTTGCGCCTCCCACCGAACATGGCTCCATCTTGCTGTGGCTGAAAACGCCGTCACCTGTGTGCTCACAGAGGGGCACATCTCCCTGTGCCCCCAAAATGGCTGGGAAATGGGGACCCCCAAGCTCAGGACCAGCTGAGTGCTTCATCACCACCTTTATTTGACACAAGCCCACAGCAGGCCAGGTGTACACGGCAACACAAGCTACGCTACGGACACCACGCTATTTCCATGCAGGCAACCACGGCTACGGACATAGCAGGAGGATGGGAACAGAGCCTGAACTGGGGAGGCTGGGAGCTCCATCCAATGGCCTTTGGGGGTATAAATGGGGGCTGGTGTGAGAGGCACCGGCTGAGCCAGGCAGCTATGGTGATCCCTGTGAGCCCCCAGGGTGGAGCCTGGGGCTAAGGTGGCTGCCAGCGGCAGGTCCTGTTGTGCGATGCCTTTGGCATGATCCATGCTGCATCCCACAGAGGAGGCAGCAGCCCTGGCAGCCCGAACCACCTCTGCCCCCCTGCTCTGCCATCACTACTGCTAAAGCCAAGCAGAACGGCCCTGGCACTGATCTTTGCCCAAAGCACGAGCCCACCAAACCATGACCGGGTGCAAGGATCAGTCTGCGGAGAAAAATGCTGCTGCTTGCATACAGACACCTTCTGCCATGGTCACAGCACAAAACAACAGGTTGAGAGACTAAGTGGGGAGTGAAAGGAAGCCAAACCTGCCTCTATGAATTTCCCTGCCCTCACGTCTTGTCATCCTGCGCCCCAAGCAGAGCGGTGCAGGCTTTGAGGTCGTTGTTTTGTTTCATTTTAATCCTCCCCAGGTGCCAGTGTTGAGGTCTGCAGATAATATCAGGGAGGGGACTGGGAGAAACGGAGGCTGCCGTTTCAGGAGAGCTTCAGGGTTTATTTTGGCACCCGTCCCATAAGCTTTCACCTGGCTACTCATTAATGGCTGCCCCTGGCGAGGAGCAGAGGAGGGTGGATTTATGTGCCGCAGGGAGTGTGCAGGTCGCTGCACTTGAATGGTGCTGCCTACAGTGTCTGTGCCTGGGGGGGTGGCAAACACTTTTCAGTGTGCTGTTCACTCTGAAACCTAACGACGGCAGCAGCTCTGCACTTGGGGGAATGCTGCTCTCAGCAGAACAGAGCATACCGAGGGGGCTGCCGAAGGGGGAGGAGGCTGATTTTGGAGCCGTGGTCCTCTGTGCAGGGCCATGAGAAGGTGGGGGGCAGTGTGTGGCAGCAGAAGAAATCAGCAAACCTTCCTGGGGCTCACTGCTGGCAGCTCCCAGCTATTCGGAGCCAGGGGACGCTCAGCTCACGGCATGTCATGCATTTCTCTGTTTCCTGGGGGAGGAGCTGGGCTTCAAAGCCGCATCCTTGGCTTCGGGACGGGTCAGGGAGAGACCTGGCTGCAACAAACCCGAGGGCCGGCTGCTCACATTGCTCCCTGTGCCAACCCAAAAAACAGCATCTGAAGCAGAGTGAGTCCTCACTGGGATGAATGAAAAGGCGACGCTTCCAAATTGGAGGAGCTTTTAGGTGATGGGAAATGCTGCATCGCTCTCCCAGCAGCTGCATGGAATGAGGATGGAGTTGCTGGGGGCTGCAGCCCGCGCCAGGCGCACTGCCACAAGGATGGCCAGCCAAAATGGGGGTGGCATTTGTGTCCAATGTCATCCCGTTAGGAGGGAAATGACCCCTTGAAGTTTGTTCAATAAATACATAAATACAAATCCAGATGCGAGGTCCAAACACAGTGGCAGCTCCCCACTGGGATCCCCTCTGGCTGTTCCCACTTCCCAGTGATGCCTTCTCCTGCCTGCCCTGAGCCCGGCCCCCTGTTCCAGGTGAGCTGTGTCCCCACACAGCCTGTGGCATCGTGCTTCAGAGCCAATAGCGAGTGCTGTGTCTGCATCTGCTCTGAAGCAAGCCAGAAGAGCCAGCTGAAGGCATGGAAACCTGCTTGGAGAGCAGCAAGGGAAGCGAGGGTTGGGCAGCCGAGTCCTCGAGGCTAAGGAAATAAATAACTGCTCAGATGTGCAGGTCTGGTGGACAAGAAAGCCAGTGCAGCAAAACACCAAGTGTCCTTCAGGAGGATTAAAAATAAATAAGTGAAGCTCGGCTTTTTCTCAGGAATGCGTTCGTTTGCAGCTCTGCTGGCAGGAAGGGGGTAGTTCTTTAAATAAAGGGAAAAAAAAACAGTTCTAGCACACCTGCACGCCAAGCTGCCCATCGCTCCGATCCTGGCTGGAGAAAATACTTGTGGTAGCTGGGAAGGAGATCCCAAACGTTCCTGAGACGGAGCATCCTGCTGGGCTGAGTGGGCTGGGCTGGAATCCTTCCCCACCTCAGCACGGGTCCTGCAGCAGGACCTGCCCTGCACAGCCTGCACCCACTTTCCAGCGCAGTGTTTGTGAAGCAGGGAGAAAAGTCAGGATGTGCAGAGATGAAGGTTTGCAGCCCACAGGATGCCCAGGATGTCTGGTTGCCTTTGGGCTGCGGCTCATTTCACCCAGCTTAATCTCGAGTTCGGTTTCTCCTCTTCAGGAAAAAGAAGCTGCTCTTCTGGGGAGGGCCCAGCAGCATTGGCACTTGGCTTTTATGTGTAATTTTGACCTAAAAATAAACAAATGCAGCTCAGCAAGCAGCTCCCAGCCATGAGTCATGCTCTGGCCAGGCACCGAGCACCCCCGCCTCAGCGGCTCCCACTCCATCCTCCTCCCCCCAGGGGCTTACAGTGCAGGATGGCTGCATCCAGGGCTCCCCATCCACCTGCATGGGCAGCAGCTTGGAGGTCCTGTAACAGAGAATAGGGGATCACGCAGCCGCCCGCTTTCACTGCCCATCAGGGCATGGCCTGT